TTAGGAAACTAAGAGTGGCTAAATGAAGCAATATTAGTATTTCATGAATTCAGTGAATATTAGTTTCACTTATGTAGGAGAGTGTAGACTTTTTAACAACTGAAGTGAGGATGATTTTAGTATCTTAGCAACGTGTTTTATCAGATTGTCGTATTGCTGCATTATTTTTCCTTGGTTCTGTTCTCCGTTGAATCTTCTCGCTAACTTTCAACTCCTCTTCTTGTGATATCACTAAGTGTAGAGTTTTAAACTAACGCAATTCAATGAAATCCTCTGTGGTTCAATGGTAGAACACTGTATTGCCACACATGGAGTCGGAGTTCTATTCCCGACCGACGCAATATTAGACCTCACCCAGTCGGTCGTAGTAAATCTGGAAAAGAGAAGAAAGTGGGTGGCAGGCTACCAACCCCACGTCTCAGAAACACAAACACAACTGAAACTTCAAAGCCTAATGCTTCAACCTCCTTGTTCCATTTAGAATGCAAAGGAATTTTAATAAAACTCTCTTTCTTTCTTTGTTGGGTTTGTAGTTCTCATCTTTTGTATTTGTCGATTGATTTCAATGAATAGGAGATTATTTATCGATTACTCGGAGAGGGAGAAAGAGAGATAAAACGCGATTTGGTGAAAAAAGTCCTCTGTATCGACGATGTCATCTCCAAGGCTTGTATGGTTGCATTTCTATTTACTAACGTCGCATAAAACAGTCTATTGCTGAGTAATAAGGGTGTGTAACTTAACACGGTGTGTCGGTGGCTTAACGGTAAAATGCCCGCCGACCACGCCAATGGTAATAGGTTCGATGTCCGGCCGACGCACTCCTAAACTCCTCTAAGGTGGCAGCAAAGCCAATAAAGAGGGAAGGTTAGGCATGAGGCTAGCAAACCCACCTCGTAAATAAAAACTCCATTGCTACCGAAACTTCAAAGGTGTAGCTTGAAGTCCCTTATGTTCCACTTTTGGAACATTAAGGAATAGAAACAAATACTTAATACAGGGGTATACAATTATTCAGAAGTGATTTCTAAAGATAAAGAGGAATTATGCGAAAATTGCCGGCAAAATGGAAGTGTAGTTACTCTTATTATTCCCTTGGGTTCTGAGTGGAACATACTGCTTCAACAGCTCGTCTCAGCTTTGCCCTATTCTTTGCAGTACTTTTTAGCCGACCCCACGATTTCCCATAATCTCTCATCTCCTCCTCCTCCTCAACACACAATCTCCTCCATTTCACCTTCGAACCTAAGTGCAACTCGTCCTTTCGTTTCTCATTTGGGTACCACTGGAGGAATGGCCTGCACTGAGCGCCATGTCGTTCGACGGTCTCTTTAGTGGCGTATGATCAATCAATACACCATTTTATTCAGCAAACTTGTTGAGCAACAGGTCCTCGCCTGTTGGTTCGTCCCCAGAGCTTCTAGTTACTAATTCCTTCTGTTTGACCATCTGGTTTTCAGTATGCAGGGAAGCTGGAAGTTGTTAATAAAAGTTAGCGATGGCCTGTTGGAAGTGGTTTCTATCTAATATAGAAGAAAAGACTTAGCATCAGTTTTATAAATCCAAATTTTGTTTTTACGAGTTGCACGTTGAGGTGGCCCAATGAGACGGCTTGTCTTTCACGTTCTGGCTGAACAGTTTCTTGCAAGAAAATGTCAGTCGTAGGCTCGCGGCGAAGTATGTTTTCCTTAGAGATTTGGAGAGGCGTTTGCGAAGGATTTCTGCTTCAATATCACCTTTGAATTCCAGATTAAGCAGAAGTATTTTCTTTGGAACGGACTGGACTTGTTCGGAAGTCTTCTTAGATTTGAGATTCTTGTCTATGAACCTGGGCGGGAAACCGTTTTCCATCAGGGTTTTTCGGAGATTACGCAGTTCTTCTTCAATCACTTCCTCGCTGCATATCTTCCGAATCCTCGAGGAAAGAGCGTATATCAGGTTCCTCTTTCTGCTTAGCGGCACGAAGCTTTGAAAGTTGATGAAGTGTCCGTTCCAAGTAGGCTTTCTGTATATGGATCTTTTCAGAGAGTTGTTGGCGTTTCTTGTCAGCTGGACGTCAAGGAAGTGGAACGTTCCGTTGGATTCAGTCTCAAGTGTGAAGTCGATGTTTGGGTGGGCGTCATTGAAGAGTTGATCACGGATCGATATCAGTTAGAGAACTATCGTAAACCAGCACTGGAGTACTGGACATTCAGCTGTTTCTTCCGTCCTAGTTTGAGAATCATCGGCAGTACGCTCCCACTGGGGTTTGAACCCAAGATGTTCCAGTAACAAGGCAACCACTGGGACCTATTTCAATGGTTCATGAATTCTGACTTCTACCGATTCGTGATTTTCCGTGACTGGCACCAACCCATGTCATTGGTGGGACATCCATCCTCACACTTGACTGGATGGACCTTATGACGGAGTTTCCTGGAGTTCTAGTGAGAAATCGTGACCAGTGAGGTCCAACAAGTCAAGTGTGAGGATGGATATCCCGCCGATGACATCGGTTGGTGCCAGTCGCGCTAAATCCCGAATTGGTAGAAGTTGGAATTCATAGGCTGGCCAATGAATCGGATTCCAGTGGCTGAATGGTATACGAGCTTGCCTTGCCCTGTGTTGGAACCCCAGTGGGTGATTCTCAAACTAGGGTGAAAGAAACAGCTGTCCAGTACTCTCCAGTGCTGGTTTTCAATGGTTCTCTAACACATATAAATATGATTGTACAGTTTCTGAAAATGACTTCTATAAAAAGAAACTATTCTTCTTTGTTATCACTTATGATTCTATTGAATTCCTTTGCATCCCGAATGAAACGTAGGGCTTGAAGTTCAAACTTTACAGTTTTGATAACGTTGATTTTGTTTTATTTTACTGAGTGAAGTTGCTAGCCTCACTCATGCTCAGTCTTTCCACTACTTAACCAAACTTACTACCGGCTAGGAGTGTATCAATAGCCGGAAGTCGAACTCTGGACCACGTGCGGCGTGTTTGGAAGGCAGGTATTCCCAAATTCGATTGTTGTTGGTGGTAGTGACTAACAATGGAATATAGAACACGTGTTTCGAATCTATTTCAGACACATCAACTGAATATACCTGTACCCTAGTACTGGCGTGTGTTACTGACAAGATTTCCCAGTAGTATATAAACAGACGTTCATCGGCAGAAAGATATCAAATAGCAGAGAGATAGATCTGATGTCAACGAGAGCAAATGAACATCCAGACACGAGAAGAACACGAAAAAGTTAACAACACAAAGGGCTGAAGTAGCAAGCACAACACAGAAGATCTGTGGAAATGACAATTTTCATATAAGGTACGCTTAATTTTCCTATATGTGTATGTTCTGCCAGAAAGTCTCTTGTCTTCTCGCGTTACTTAATGAGACTGTTCACTAAACTAGTGAGCTGTGACAGTAGCTATCAGGATCCAAGTATATCCATTTGGGCAGTCTTACATAGGATACCCCAAAACATCTTAGATTCAACTGTTAGGCACTCTGTTGGCATGCCTGAATAACTGAGCTACTTCAGTTACCATACAACACATTACGTCATCTTGTATCTAATTCTTATTGATTTTTAACCATTCAGTGATGTCCTCACACCATATTTACAACTGACTTTCACAATTTATCTTACTCCTTTGCATTCCACGTGGAAAATAGGGACTCAGGATTGGGCTTTGGGCTTTTATGGTGATAGGGTTGCTATTCCATATTAGTTTGTTTATTAGATATATCACACAGTGAAACAGTATTATTTACTGGATGACGTTTCGAACAAAATTTATTGTTCATAATCATATCAATTGTGATCACACGACTTTGACACTTGAGTTTTATAGTTTTCTTTGTTCTCTCCTATTTGTCGTCGTTAGGGTAGTAGAATTTTCCAGATATCGGGGACAGGTGATGAATCATTCCTATTACATGTATTTGCAGTTGATTCGATAAACAAAGCTTCTGTTATCAATCTCTCCCTCCACTCTGTGACATTAGATTTTAAAACTGTCATCCTATCCCATCCTATTGTATGTTTGTGTGTGACTGCATGTAGTGGTATAGCTGAACTGTTCTCGAGATTTCTTTGGTCAAATACATAGGTCAAACTAGTAGAACAGGGGCAGCCAGACTAGCTGAACATAAAAACTTAGCAAAATCTAGATTGGTTGACCAGAATAAGATAAGAAATCTCGAGAACAGTTCAGCTATAGCACTACATGCAGTTACACACAACCATACAATAGGATGGGATAAGATGACAGTTTTAAAATCTAATGTCACAGGGTATAGGGAGAGATTGATAACAGAAGCTTTGTTTATCGAATCAACTGAAGAGAATACGTGTAATAGGAATGATTCAACACCAGTCCAATCGGATATCTGGAAAAGTTTACTACGCCAACGATGACAAATAGGAGAGAACAAAGAAAACTATAAAACTCAAGTTTCGAAGTCGTGTGATTACTATTGATGAAATGATTATGAACAATGAATAAATTTTGTTCGAAACGTTGTCATCCAGTAAATAATGCTGTTTCTTTGACTGTGTGATATATCTAATAAACAAACTAATATGGAATTACTTACTACCACAGTGCCCAAGTTTTACACATATATTGATAGGGTTGCTAGCCTCACGCAAGTCCAAACTTCCGTCGTTATCGTGAGGTTTAGTAGTAGTGTATCAGCTGGGTTTCGAACCCCAGACCACCTGCGTGGTTGGCGAGTACTCACTGACTCACAAACTGCCAATATGTTTTTCTCGGAGATGAAGGATTAATGAATGAACAGCACTGAGTCACAAAGAATTCTGCACATTCCGTTAACATAAACGTATATATATATATCAAGCGTTTCAAAGTGTCCTTGAAATATCCAGACTAGGAATCGATGGGTAAATGGAGATTGGACATTTGTCTAGGGAAATCAACCAGTGATAAGTCCAAATAAAAAAAACAACGTTTCAAGAAGAAAACTCGGTATTTCGCTTATGCTTCATGGCTTACCTTCAACAGTTCTATCAATAAAATGATGCGATCTAGTTGACTGTCCACTTGGTTCATCTCTATCCATCCATCTTCTAGAACTGTGTGAATTTTTGGGCAATAACATAACGAAAAGAAACAATATTTAGTACATAGATACAATGAGCATTGAAAATATTGAAAAATATACACATACTACTGGTTCGAGATATAAGTAATAATGGCAAAGACTAATACTTCGCCCATTACAAGGCAAATATTACAAATTTCATGAAAAAGGTACTTCGATTGGTCACTAGATAGTAACCAATGTTATGCATCTCATCTATCAACCAATCACGAATTCTAATAGCTCAGGTGTTACATCTCTGACTGGAACACTGAGGATGGCATAGGTTCGAATCTCAAACGGGAGATGTTTTATATGACCCGAACTACGACCTAGTAGACTATGAGAGAATACTAACCTAATCCGCTAGCTAATCTGTCCTAATCACACGACAACAACAACAACAACTACAACCATAACACAGCCTGCATGCAAAAACGAAAGAGGCAAAGTTGAGAACTACAAGCACCACTAACTACCAATCACCGAATGGTCTCCAACGCACCAATCACGTTAAGGAGGCATTATTCTGTATGGAATACATACATTTATGAAATAATGCATAAAAACTGTAGAAAAGTGTTACAGAGGATCCTTTCCACGCACATGTGGTAGAAATAGCTCTCAGTTCTAAGTTGGAGTATCAACAGAGAATAATTCCATTGTGGGTAAACTTTATTTTGATAAAGTTTCTTAGTGTAATACAGTAATATTTCCTGAGCAATAAATTGTGCTCGAAACGTGGTCATCAGTAAATATTACTGTATATCACTGTGAGAATTTATCAAAATAAATTTTACCCACAATGGAATTATACTCTACCACCATTGTGCACAAGTTCTATTGTTATATAAACATAGAAATCGAACCACATTCTATGCATGCAATTATTTAGGTATTCTAACCCTAACAATAACCCTAATCTTTGTTGAACCTAACCCTAACGTGAATATATCCCTAAACTAACTGTAATCTAACTCGAACTAACCCTAATGTCGCCTTCATTAGATTAACTTAACCCTAACTTGTCCTTGGCCTAAAGCGTAACTTAATCTTTCTCAAACCTAAGCTGAGACTTCCCAGATATCCCATGTAATAGCATAACACTTTGATGAGTATATTCTATTGATGATGACAACATTATTTGCCAGGTTTCACTCATTTGCTCAGTGAGCGTTTCAAGGTTATCGGTGTGGTGAATAAAGTTCAACTTGGCCACAAAAGAAAGACTGGACGTCCATAAGAGAGATTTTACTGTCTCAAATAACAGTCAAAATGCTAGACACAAACTCTGTAGATATACAGCTAGAATGACCTTGAAAATGCGGTAACTCATTGGTGAATTAAAAGTATTAACAGCCAATAGGAATCCAGCAATCCGAACAGATGGAAACAGAGGGTTTACACCAGTGCACGATAACTGCCTAAAATAGTTATTTTAAGAATTTAAGCAAAACTAGGTGTTTATAACAAAACGAGGTCTTTCAAGGTTGTAAAATGATAGAATGTTTCGGTCCCCTATAAATGTTTATATTAAATTCGTTTTATTTCACAGTTGTGGAAAGCTAATTCACCTTGTTCACTTTCTGACCGAAAATGAGTATATATATATATATATACAAATATATATTATCAAATTTCAACACAATGGATGTATCTTCTACATAATAATCGAGGAGCAGGATAAAATCATCTACGAGTTTTACATTCTCAACTATCCATCAATGTATGCATTACTACTGGGTATATCAGTGGGCCGATTGTGTATCCATTTATTTCTTAATATATTTCTATTTTGAAATTTGAATACATCTGAAGTCATAATTTAATTGGTCGATGGTGACTAGCAATGAAATCCAGGATGCGTGTTTCGTCCTATTTGGGACTTGTCAGCTAGCGGGGTGTGCCTGCATTCCGCAGTGAGTGATGATGTCCCCACCGAGGCTCGAACCCAGTGCCCGTAGTTTCAAGTTCCAAAGCGTTATCCACTAGACCACTTGGGCCACGAGAGCCACTGCCTGTTGTGCAACGAGTCATATTAATTATTTAACTGAATTTTAGATTTCCCCTTCGATTGATTGGACCGAAGTGCTCGGTCTCAGGTGGACAACTGAAGCCAGACATAATTTACTTCACTTCAATCCTTCATGCTCCAAGTGGAATAGAGGGCTTCAAGCTAAATGCTTAGGAGTTTCAACAGAAGGGGTATTGTTTCTACGGGACCAGGTCTCTAGCCTTACTCACAACCTTCCCTACTTCTGGGGTTTACTACCGGCTTGGCAAGGTTTAAAAGCAGTCCATCAGCGTCGGAGCCCGAACAATTCAATGTTAACGTCTCTGACTCCAGTACTGGATGACCAAGAATCTGAATATCAGGAAAAAAACATGAGTTCCTTCAAGATTGCAGATACCCAGACATAGCTGAACACTTAATATTATTTCTTCAACCGAAACATTAGTCTAGTTTTTCAATTCCAGGGGTCAATGTCCAGCTCATTCCTAACTGCCTTCAGTGTTACATTAGACAGATCATGATAACACAGAGCTGGAGAATTCAGCATGAAAAGTATTCCAGTAGGGGCGTTCTCTTCATCTGTGCTAAACCAAACACCTAATCAAATATTTCACGTAAATGTGAATGAAAAACAAAGTTGGGTAATGTAATTGACATAGAATGTAAATTTGTTTAAGAGCACTGACATCGTAGATTATAATTCGCTAATAAACGGATGCATTTAAACAGAAGCAAGTCTTTCCTTTTATTATCAAACTTCCCAAACTTCACTTGATCATCTCCTTGTCATCATCAATCAGTTGAATTCAGCATAAAAAGCAGAAATGATGGAACGATTGGAAAAAATCCATCTACAGGAAATAAACTTGGACTGGCCATTGCCTGAATCACTACAGCTTCTATCTAATCGACTGCAAACGCAGCCTGGTGAAAACGCTCTACAGCAGAACCAGAGCGTTGTGTTCAGAAGATAAAATTGAAGAGGAATTAGCAGTCATCTAAAACAAAAACCTCATTGAAAATGGATGCCCTCGGAAGTTCATATCAAAAATATGGTGGGGAAAAACCACCTAGAGCGAAACCAGTTTCTATCTGTCTGACGTAAAAAGGCAAACAAGTATCCACAAGAAGGGAAAACAGAATTATAGGTGCATTGAAAAAAGAACATTTCCTGCCTCCAGACTCATCTCACTTTACAACACAGTATGCGCGTTAAGTCAGTCAAAAGTAGATAAGTATCCTGCTGAAGTCAACTCCAACTGCATTTACTAATTTACCTTCACCTTCTGTAGGAAGTACATAGGAAGGACTGAGAGGAGATTTTCCAAGCATATCTCTAAAAGTCTCCATTTGAAAAGCAGTAAAGTGTTCTCAAGAGCAATTGCCAGACAACTAATTGACCAGGGAGATACAGTGGAAATCAGTCAGGCCTTCAAAATAATCAATATACAAAGACATGCATCGTAACTTCGGTACTCAGAAGCAATTGGCATCAAAAGAACTCGACCCAACCTGTGTATACAGAAAGGGACTGTGACTAATCGCTCACTACCCTGGTAACCGTAATTGTTTTGTTCATGTGCTTTTGTTTTTTGTTCTGTTGCACAATTATTATTATACCCTTGGGTTCCGAGTGGAACATAAGGCTTCAACAACACATCTCCACTTTGCCCTGTCTTCTGCCGTCTTCTTCAGTTGGGTTCACGATTGCCTATAATCTCTCATCTCCTGAACACACGATCTCCTCCATGTTACCGTCGCACCAACGACTCACTCGTCGCTCCCCATTTGGATTCCACTCAACGGCCTGGCGCACGAAGTCATGCGACTGTTTTTTCTCAATGAGCAGTCGGCTCTCGCCTGTTGATTTGTTCCAGCCAGAGTTTTCTGCTGCTAACTCTTTCTGACCGATCAGTAGACCATTTGATGTTCAGTTGGGGGGCAGTGAAGTGGGCAGCTGTTGATAAAAAGACTGCAGTAGCCTATTGGAAATCCTTTTCATGACCCACCACATCTCTTACCCGTATGGAAACACCAACTCCACTTTTCTTGTGTTGAAGATCCAAATCCTGTTCTTTATTCTGAGGAGGAGTACAAAAGATTTCCGAACTGGTTTCAGATAGATGAAGACGTACTTTGCCTTTCCGATTCCGGCTGGCTGGTATCGACATATTAATCCGTGCTGTCGCCTGTCGTTGAAACTGTGCTTCCTAGCCAGATAAGTGAAGGTAGGAAGCAATCTCTGCTAAATCTCTCTCGTTGATGGTGACTGATGCTGGTTGTTGTTGTTGTTGCCGCTGTTGGTTGGTTTGTTATCTTCGTCACCTCCGTCTTCTCTGTGTTCACCTGGAGTCCTGTCTTCGCTGCCTGCCAGTCTCTTCTGACAGTTTGTTGGTTTTCGCCTGCCAGAAAGTCTTCGAGTGTGTGTGACATTAAACATAAATCATCCAACCACGAAATCCAGATCTTCTACAGTCTTCTCATAGATGGTCCAGTGTATTTCTGTCTTCTTACTCCCCACAGTCTGACGCATAATCTAGTCCACCACAATGAAGAATATCATCGGTGATAATAGACAGCCAGCGCTGTCTTACTCATGTGTTCACTTCGAACGCCTCACTGAGTGAGTTTTCCGTTGTGGATCACCTGACATGTGACAGGCATTGTCATATAGCCAGCCAGTTGTTGAATGAGGTTGATAAAGAATTTCGCACTGCACGCCGTAATGTTGAAGGAGATTCCAAATTACTTCTTGGTCGACGTTGTCTGTCGAAGACCTTTTCAAAATCGATGCAGTTACGGTACAGATGGGTTTGACTGCTACTTTATGCTCTCACTCAATTTATACTTTGATTCTACTAAGTTAAATTATTTTATAATTTTACTTGCCTATTCACCTGCACCCTCCTGAAGTCTCCATCATAATATTTTTAAATTAACTCTGTCGTTCTATCTTGTAATTTGTCTCTAGTTCATCCTTATTTCCAAGCGAAAATCTGAACTCTAAACCCCTTCCTCTAATTTTTTTTATTCCTTCACGTTCCCAGTGGAACATAGGGCTTCAAGCTAGTGGCTTGAAGTTTCTGTAGCAGTGGTGTTTATTTTTACAGGATGAGGTTGCTAGCCTCATGCCCCCCAACCTTTCCTCTTCGCCAGCTTTTTAGTTCTGGCTTAGCGAGGTAAAGGAGTGCGTCCTGTGTCGGCCGGGGATCGAACCCCGGACCATGTGCATGGTTGGCGAGCGTCCTAACCGCTATGCCACCAAAGCACCTTTCTCTAATTAGTATATAAATAATTACTCCATTAAAACACTAAATACTTGTCTACTCACATCATCTTTGAAATTATGTTGCTCATGTTTACACTTTGTTTAGGTTGTACTCATCAGCTGAAGAGAGTCCACGAAATAAAAGCAGCTCATATTATCCTGCCCAGAAATATATTCGTTCCTTCTTTTATTCAAACTATAAAAGGAACCGGTTGTATGAACTCAGTGCATTAAAAGTAGTCCGTAATCCACTTTCTTCTCTATACCATGATTAACACATGATGTTAATCTATCGATAATTAGTACCATTAAATGTGGTTATATGTGTTTGTTTGTTGCGTTAGCGTTCGCGTTATTTCCAATTGTCATTGAACACATTGAATCTATTATTCAATGATAGTTTGTTTAAACAAAGTAGTAGTACAATCGTTACATACAAAATGTATGGAATAAATTTGAAATAGATTCAATCAAAATAGTGTAAATCTTCTATCGATCGATCGATCGATCAATCAATCAATTTATTGACTGATCGAACGAGTTCAATTATCACCTAAAACAAATTTGGTGTGAAGAAAAATTGTAACAAATATTTATAATGGAATTAGAAATGGATTGGACATATGATCTGAGGAGATATATTCAAGGAAATATCCACACACCCGCATAACCTTTAAGTAGAACTCGTATAGAGATCGGCAAGCTGGGCGTTGACGAAACTATTTTTCTAGAGGAAATGGAAGTTTGTGGACAGTTGTGGAGTCAGAGAAAAATAATAGCGGAGAATCGATTGGAATGAAGATGTACATTGAAGCCTTACTCTCAACTCCGAATGGATAATAATAGTAATGTAATCCCCACCACAGTACTTACGCGTTATCACTGGATTGTTTTACATGCTGACTTGGTGAATTCGTCGAATAGGATGGAACACGAACGTTAAGCTCATTACACGATCGATAATTTGCAGATGTTGGCCGACTATAACGATTTGGCTGTAATGAGTTTTGTTGTGGTGTCGGTGCTATTGGTAGTGGTTGTTTTGGTGCCTGTGGTGGTTGATGCGGATGATGTGGAGATTTGGACCGGACACCACCATCAGATTTTGTTCCTGATATAAGACTGTCTTGTGCATCTAATAAACGACTATAAGCAGCAATTTCAGCTTCTAAATTCAATTTAGCATCAGTTAAGGCTGATAATTCTTTGTGTAGACGTGTCAGTGCATCTTCAGCGGCTTGTTTCTCACGATCTGATTCACTTATAAGTTTATTTAGTTGATTTCGTAGATTTCTTGACTCTTCAACTGAATCATTCAAAGAACGTTCAAGTTGTTCACACTAGAAAAATAAATTTATTGAGAATAAATGAAAAATAAACAAATACAAAATAAATTGTAACAACTGCGAAAAACACTACATTGGCCAAAGTGGACGTCCCCTTCGTCTTCGTATCCACAAACATAAGCTAGCCGTCAAAAGACATGACATCCACTCCTTCGCTCATATCACTACATACAGACAACCACGGACATCAATTCGACTGGGACAACGTTCAAATATTAGCCAGAGGATACAACAAGAATGCTAGAGAATTTTTAGAAGCTTGGCATTCCAGTGAATCATCAATCAATAGACACATCGAGATAGACAAAATTTATCAACCGATAAGAAAGAAACCTCACACACACACAAAGGGTCAAAGTTCAAGTCAAAGAAACAATCAGTTACAATACAAGTAACCTAGAAGGTGTGAAAACACACAAAAACAACCACTCACGTCCAAAGTCACCAGGAGAGATGACTGATAAACTTGTAAAGAAATCGAAAAGCTCACTTCAAATTGAAGTATGCGCTGAAGATGTCGTCTAGTAGGGCGATGAAAGCTTCGCAAATTAACTATCCAGCTCAGAGAACACAACCACATCGAAATCAAGTAAAAATTATGTTTCCAATTGTTGGTCTACAGGGATTCGATTTGTTACAGGTTTAATCATGATCTGACATCAGCAATTTTCAGAACCATTGGAAAATTAAGGGACTTGCTCCATACTGGAAATCTAGTGAGGATTCGTGACCAGCTGGCTCGACCAGTTAATCGCAGCCTATGACACTGACAGGAGTTTGCGCTATGCATGCCGCGAACTGGCAGAAGTTAGAATCGCTAAGTCATTAGATTCCGTCCCAATAGTCGAATGGTCTACGAACTCGCCTTGTGAATTAAAGTATCTGGGTTCAGACCACAGTGGGTACGTACAGTTGAAGAGTCCCAGACCAGGACGAAAGAGCCATTCAGTGCATTCAGGCTTTCCAATGGTCCTCTAAATGATCAGTCAGCTCATGATTAAAATCTGTAAAAGCAAACATACACTAATCGAACCAAGTTCACTGACTGACTATCGCTCGAATGTTCAGATACTGCACAATTCCTCAAATATGTGTTTCATTGAGAAAAGACACACTGATTATACAATTATAATATATGATGTAATATTACACAAACAGACTGCTTGAGAAACTATTGAACAGTAAATTTGTCAGAAGAAAGCCCCTATTGAACTATTTATAATCTAGTTACCAGATTTTAATTTAAATACTTTAGAGTAAACAGGTTCAACTCGCACTACCCAACACTTCATTCGTCTATATGATCCACTTCCAATTTCTTGTCATTCATGATCTAAATTAGTCACATTTCGATAGGTATGGTTTCTATGGAACAGATATCTTAACAAAACAGTCAGTTCCTTTCAGATCGTATTTACTGAATATCCACATTTAACGGTACAATGAGTTCAAATCTGATGAAGGAATATCAGTTAAAATAGCACTAAACATTATGGATTAGTGGATGGCAGTTTCGTCCCACACTTGGACTCTTCATCAGTAGGCACATTGGTTGGTCGGTCGGTTTTCAACATAGAACTTTGCACATATGTGCGCCAGTTCAAGTCGCCACACTCCCTCCTTGTAGCACACAAAGCAAGAGAAGAAAGTAGGAGAAATGCATAATATAGACAGTAAACAGAGGTGTGAGACAAAGGAATAGTAATAACGAAGAACAAAACAGTTTAATTGGAAATCATGAGTCACAAGGAATGGATGCATCTGCGCCAATGAGAACGATTTTGAGCCATGTCACCAATTGTTTACAGCCATTGGTTTTACCGTCTCGAGGACCCCAACCAGTCAGGAAGTCTACACCTTCCTACGTGGCTTAGACTAACTGTTGTGGATTTCATTGACTGGTGCCATGTTTTGGTTTGACCGCCATGTCTAGCTCTTTTCCAGCCTGACACTATGTCAGCTAACATTGCCCGTCAGTCGAGGAAGGCGATGACTAGGCATACGTAGCACATGTCCTAACCATCTCAGTCGATGTAATTTCACAGTCTCGTCTATTGATTTCCCCGCCTTACCTAGCACTCGACCGATGCCTAACCTCAATATTGCTCACCTTATTATACCACTTCACACAGGAGATAGAACGCAGACACCTATGATCGAAGACAGCTAATCATTTCATGTCTTCCGCTCTCAATGGCCAGGTCTCACAGCCATAAAGGAGGACGGAGCGGACTGTTGAGCAGTACACACACCCTTTGGTCAACAGCCGGCTGGATATCACGTCTACGCCAGAGACGGCGTAAACTGGCATATGCGAAACTAGCCCTCTGTTGTATTTGTGCTGAGATTTCGTCGGAGATCAACCCGTTGGGGCACATACTAGCCCAACAGCAGTTCAAATCCAACTTCTGGCTATGAGGTGAGAAGACTGATCATTCTACCATTGAGAGGAAATCGAATAACCTAAATAGTGAAAGCTAACACCATCAGCTAGTACCTGTCCTCAAAACTAAGTTGATGGATCCTGTCGGTAACCAACTTATAATTAGAACTCCAGGAAGTCCATTCTGTAGTCAGTCACTAACGAGAATTAGATCGGTTTTTCAAGTGTCGGTTTACAGGAATTGGATTGGCTACATGATACATCATGAAGTGACATCCAAAACTAGGATGAAATAGCTATTGATATACTTAAGGAGTTTTCGACAGCTCTCTGACAGATACTAGTTCGTAGACTAACTAAAAATCAATCCAATTGCTTGCTACAAACCGACGTAGGAGAATACATATCCGTTAGACCGCTGAAAGTAGTTATTATTAGACAGCCTGATCTGTACTCTTAGGCACGCGTCAACAAGACATATCTGCAAATCAATAGAAAAGTGGATCACATAGTAGATTAGAACACTCATCATCCAGTGCTTTAATCAGAGGTATTTAGGCTATTTCATTGGCCCTTAATGACCACCACCTCCGAAGGAATAGAAACACAACACACACTACAGTAGCAAACAGTTAATCAAAAACACCTTAACAAACAGATTCAAATGATTTACCGAGAGAAAAAAAATCAATAAAATAGGCGAAACAAAACAAAATTCCTACTTTAGCGCGTAGTTGATCATCTCGACCACGTGTACCGTCTAGAGCGTTCTTCAGTTTTGCATTCTCTTCTTGTAGTCTCATGAATTCTGTTCGTTGTTGTGAATCTTGACGGCTTAATTCTTCAAGCTTTTAGCGTAAGAGAAAGAAAAAAACCACAAACAAACAAATAAAGCAAATAAAATAAATATTGAAAATACGATATATACTACTGAGTATTAAGTATTTTAGTAGTAAGCGTATGCACGTCAGTGGTTCAATGGTTCGATTCCCACTTGATTAAGCCTTAAACCTCGCCAAGTTTACCACTTTATAATGAGGCCAATAGCGAGAGAAACTTGGGCGAGACGCTATAAACTCCGTTCTGTAAAAACAAGACCCCCTACAACTGAAACTTCAAAAGCACCTGTAGGCCTATATCTTTCAATCGGAAAGCAAGAATCGAAAACAAAGTGATAAAACATTGACCATGTCAATGTAGATTCCAGCATAGATCAACATCAATTGAAGAATCATTGAAAATCCGGGATCACTGGGCAGCTGTTTCGTCCTAGTTTGGGACTTTTCAACGGCATGCGATCATGACCTCACCAGGGATCATGACAGATGATAAATTATAGCAATCAAGTTCCAGTCTGAGAAGGAAAACATTTAAATAATGAAAAAATTTGAGTCCCTCTTCGATTATTGACCTTCTGATTTATTGACTTATCAAGAGTGAAAGATAAGGGAAAGGCTGAATGAAGCACAATACTAAAGTTTTAATGGAACAGTTCAGTGAGCTGATAGTTGATTATCATTTCTTGTAGGACATTTGAAAATTAAATCAGTCCCGAAGTGAGGAAGTGAGTATACATTAAGTCAAAGGGATATCATTTTGTTACCCTGTAGGATTATTATTATTATTGTTCCCTTGCGTTCCGAGTGGAACATAGGGCTTCAACAACACATCTCCACTTTGTTCAGCTTTCTGCCGTCCTCTTCAGCCGGGTCAACGATTGACCAAACCCTCTCATCTCTTCCTCACACGAACTCCTCCAGAGTCACCCTAGCATTGACGACCCACTCGTCGCCTCCCATTTGGATTCCACTCGAGCGATGGCCTGGCGTGCGATGTTATTCGGCGGCCTGCTCAATGTATGCCCGATCCATCTCCACTTTCTCCCATATATTTGTTGAGCGATCGGCTCTCGCCCGTTAGTTTGTTCCAGCCAGAGCTTCTTGTTGCTTATTCTTTCTGGCCATTTGATCTTCAACATGGAGCTAGCTATCGAAGTGGGGAGCTGTTGATGTAAGTCTGTAATTGGCTGTTGAAAATCCTTTTCGTGACACGAACTGCAAGTTTCTGACCCATATCGAAGAACTGACTTCACATTGGTGTTGAAAACCCAAATCTTGTTCCTTATGCTGAGTGTAGAAGATTCTCAAAGTGGTTTCAGGCGTATCTTCTACCTGTAGTTGAAACGATGCTTCCTAGATAGGTGAAGGAGGTAAACTCTGTCAAATCTCTCTCTTTGATGGTAATTGGTGCTGGTTGTTGTTGCTGTTGATTGGTTCTTGTCATCACCTCCGTCTTCTCTGTGTTTACATGCAGTCCTGTTTTCGCTGCCTCTTCAGCCACTTTGTTGGTTTTCCCCTGCCTGTAAGCCTTTGATTTTGTGTGACATTAGACATATATCATCTGTGAAATCGCCTTGGAGGATAAATGTGACAATTTTGGAACCCCGTTAATCTGAATCCGATAATGCTAACTGACTACAGTACTCAACACTGCATTTGAAACAAACCACAGCCTAGTTGATGATTTTGCCGAAAAGAAAGCTTTCTTCGCTGTAACCATCTTCTTAAATTTGGTTAAATTGTCTTACGTAGATCTTGAAAACAGGAATAATGTTCACAAGAGTTAGATATTCGGAAAATGTGTAAGGTATTAGACGGTTGGAGGCAATCGACAGGAGGCCTTGCTCAACCTAGGTTTCGTGCTAGTTGGCACTTACCAGTAAGAAAGGTGGCGTATTTGCAACTCTGAAGGAACTCATAGACCTTTTGCTTAGTTTTACATAAAGCTTAAATATAACTATTTGTTTGTTTCCAACTGTTCGGATTGCTGGATTCCTATTGGCTGCTAATACTTTTAATTCACCAATGAGTTACTGAATTTTCAAGGTCATTCTAATTGTATATACACAGAGTTTTTGTCTAGCATTTTGACTGTTGTTTGAGGCAGTAAAATCTCTCTTATCGACCTCCAGTCTTTTCTTTTCCGGCCAAGTTGAACTTTAAGCACCACACTGATGACTTTGAAACGATCACTGGGTAAGTCGGTGAAACCTGGCAAATAATGTTGTCATCATCAATAAAATATGCTCATCGAAGTGTTATGCTATGAAATGGGATATCTGGGAAGTCTCAGCTTAGGTTTGAGAAAGATTAAGCTACGCTTTAAGCCAAGAACAAGTTAGGGTAAGGTTCATCTAATCAAGGCGACATTAGGGTTGGTTTGGGTTAAAATACAGTTAGTTTAGGAATATTTTCACGTTAGGGTTAGGTTCAGGAAAGATCAGAGTTATTGTTAGGGTTAGAAGACCTAAATAATTACATGCATAGAATGTGGTTAAATTTCTATGTTGATATAACAATAGAACTTGTGCACAATGGTGGTAGAGTATAATTCCCATTGTGGGTAAAATTTGTTTTGATAAATTCTCACAGTGATATACATTAATATTTACTGATGACCACGTTTCGAGCACAATTTATCGCTCAGTAAATATTACTCTATATCACTAAGATACTTTATCAAAACAAATTTTACCCACAATGGAATTATACTCTGTTGATACTCCAACTTAAAACTGAGAGCTATTTCTGTCACATGTGAGAGGAAGGTATCCTCTGTAAAACTTTCTGCAGTTTTTGTGCATTATTTCATAAATGTATGTATTCCATACAGAATAATGCCTCCTTGACGTGATTGGTGCGTTAGAGACCATTCGGTGATTGATAGTTAGCGGTGCTTGTAGTTCAACTTTGCCTCTTTTTCCTTTGGGTGCCGTCTGTGTTATGGTTGTAGTTGTTGTTGTTGACGTGCGATTAGGACAGATTAGCCAGCGCATCAAGTTCGCATTCGCCCATAGTCTACTAGGTCGTAGTTCTGTTTATAACAGGTATATTTTGGCGAAGTTGAACAACGGCATCCCAGGAGTGAGAACACCCCAGTGACCTTGAACGCTTGTTATTCGTTGGCTAGCGGCACCTGTCATTATCATAGCTGAAATATCAAAGCTTTTCACCAACAAAGGGGCAAATTTCACCCAGATCACGTTTTTAAGTAATGTTTGGACAATTTGTTAATTGGTAGCTAGGATTAGGATTAAGGGTAAAGTAAGTATCGGGTTAGGGTTAGGATCAGGGTCATAATTAGCATAAGGGTAAGGATTCCGGTTTGGATAAGGGTTATGATTAGCGTTGGGATTAAGGTTAGGGTTACAATTAGGGATAGACATACAGTTGATGTCATTTATTTTTATTTGTTTCATTATCCACATGTCCCTGGTAAGTGTTCATTAACCCTCTTACTGCAAATCATAGTAATTCAACCGAGGGCTTTTAGGGAAGACTGCACAACTGGATAAGAGAGACAAACTATCCAAAAAAAGAGTTCATCTTCAGTCACCTTGGTGAATACATGTAGAGAAACTAGTCTAACTTAGCAATTGAAACTCCTCATTATAACATTGACGTACTTTTAAGTCATGTCAGAGAAAGATAACCTGTGTAATGTGTTTTCATGCATTTTTCTTTTAAATATACGTCATTTCTTGTGCATTTTTTAATGATTGGCCGGCTCAAGGTCACTCGTGTGTTCCCATCTTTGCGACGCTATAGTTGAACTTCACCAAAAGCGATTTAAGGCCACTGCAGTTAAAGAGATTGTAGAAACATCGTCTATATGCACAATTCAAAGTATGCTTTGTGTGTTGCAGGATCTTCTGCTATGGGCAGCGAATCAAGCTGAAAATCCTTCGGATTGCTTTGAACGATTTCTCTATTGATGCAGAATAATGTGCATAAAAAAGGCGCTGAAGAATAAAGTTACAGGTTAGTCATAATCCCTCTTTTTAACAATCAGATTATTGGCAGTATTTCCATGTGCCCATCTAAATAGTAAGTATCCTACTCGTATGGTCTATTTACTTACCTCTAGAGAAGCAAGTGAATTATCATACATATATATTCACATTAATGTTGCTAACATTGGTATATACTAAATGATATTTTAGAAATTCTATTTAACACTACAGCTTTAATGAGAAGTTGAAAAAGGAAAATGTCTAGCTGATCTATACCTTCATAATGCGAAATGTTCAGCTGCAACACAATGACAGTCCAACTGCTTCAGGTAGACCCACACATACACACGCATGTGCGTCAATAGTTCAATAATAGCAATCTCGTCAGCCGCACATGACAGTCTGGTTTGATTCCGTCTGGAGGCTGGCTGGCTGGATTCAACATAGAAATTGGCACCGAAGTGCAGCAGTTCCAGTTGCCACGTTCCAAATAGCACACAAAGGTAAACAAGAAAATGAGAGTGAAGAGAATCAATTGAGTTTTGACAAGTATAAGAGTGAGTGAAACAGAATGAGTAATGGTAGAAAGGAATATGAAAGATTACAGAGACTGAATACATCTGCGCTAGCCATTGACAACGATTTTGAGCCATGTCACCTATTGTCTCCAGCCATTGATTGATTCTTAGAGTCCCGAGGGTGGGCCCCAACCCGGAAGTCTGCATCTCCCTCCCTACCTGACTCAGTTTAACTGTCAGGGATTTCATGGATTGATTGATGCCATGTTTTTGTTTGGCCACCACTTACTCTTTTCTAACCCACAACACCTATTTCAGCTAGTAATGCCCGTCCGTTGGGGGAGGCGATTGTTAGGCATGCGCAGCACGTGACCTAGCCATCTCAATCTGTGTAACTTTATAGCCTCTTCGATTGATTTTCCCTCTTTGCCCAACACTCTACCTATGCCTAACGTCAACATTACTTACCTTATTATGCCACCTAACGCGAGAAAGAGATCGTAAACATCTCACAAACATACACATGTGCATCAATATTCCAATAATAGAAATCTCGCAACCGCACATGACAGTCTGGTTCGATTCCGTCTGGAGCCTAGTTCACCTGCGGCGAGTAGAAAGGCTCAGAGAAGAAAAATTGACAGCGTGAGACTAGATAAGCTGCTGCTCAGTAAACAAAACTCAAAGCTGGGCGCCTTATACTCTACTAAAGACACTGTATGGAATGTGTGTGTGTTTCTGTTTGTGTTTGTGTGCGTGTGTATGTGTGTAAGAACAGTCCTAATAATAATTCACTTACACGTAACAGATAACCTTGTTCCATTTCTTCACGAATACAATCTAATCGATTGTCATAAGCAGCCTTGATATCTCTTATGGCATTTTGCATGATATGACGCCAATGATCACGATCTTGTTCATCTTGAACAACATTTGTCATTGAACGTAATTCTTGTAGTTCTTGTTCATGAACACGACGATGAAATTCCATTTCTTCTTTTAGTGTTTGCATTTCTGATTGACATTTCATACGATTCGCGGTTTCTTCATCTAAATTCTAGAGAGAAAAAAAAAGTAATTCAAGAAAATGTAATTAAAACTTATGTCAATTTAAGGTCAAATATCTTAGTGATTATTTAGAAAAGCTCTGTATGTGCTGTTATAAAGGCGTGTGTGTGCGTGTGTGGGTGTGGCAGTGATGACTTCTCTGATGACCGCACTGCAGGAGTCGACTTCTTCTTCCTCATATACTTGAAATACCGAAACAGCATTCGCGTTGGAGGATCAAAAAACTCAGGGTGTGTTAAGAGTTGTCTGCAAGCCGAATCAGGGTCATGAGAGAAAAACAATAACAAAGCACAACCTTGAGGAACTCAACAACCAATCACAGCACACTTAGTGTATGCAAATATGATTCGCAGATATATGGCTTAACTTTCTGAGAAACGGTCGAAAGTAGTACAGAATAACCCTCAGCAAGAAATAATATTAATTTTGCTTTATTCCAAAACAGTACTTGTGATACAGAATAGAATTCTCAGCATTTTTACTATAGTATTGCATCCAGTTAGTACATTATCAATAAATAGAATTCTACATAGATTAAGGAAATCTCAGTTCATTATGACAACAACATATTGGCATGTCGGTAGCAAAGCCAAAGCTGAACAGTGTTTGAAGGTGTTAAAAAAGTAGGGGCTATCATATTTACTGGCGTAAGTGGAAGAAAGAAACAAAGCAGCACATAACGGAAAAAAAGAGAAAAAGGGAGAGAGAGAAAAGGAAAAGAAAGAAAGAAAATGTTGTACCTATAAATGATATGAGTTGGAAAGATGAGGTCCAGTTGTTATACTGACTGTTTAATGAATTATAGGTGTCACGCCTAATGCTTTCTTTATCGCACAGAACACGAGCTAAGTAGGGTATGTTTGAGTTTTTGTACTTGCTGGTGCGAGCATATAGTTTTCTATGTAGGCTTCCGATTTTGCCTGATGAGGTGCAAGGGGAGAGTTGTGAGTGAAGAGGGTGGTGTGAGTTAGATAAAATGGATTTGGCCCATTTTTTGCACATGAGTCCAAGTGCCTGCCTGTCGACCAGAAGATTAACAAGCTGGTTAAGTGGCACGTTGCTTACCCTGCTGACAACCTTTAACATCCTGCGTAATAAGGTATAGTCTTTCTTCAGTAGCCCGAGAAATAACCAATCAGAAGATGATGCTTCTCTGCTAACAGTAACGCTAATAATAATGTACATAAATATCTATAAATATCTGTTGATTTTCTGAATAAACGATCTGTGGCCTGTCCCTTGTCTTCTGTCGTTACAAGGGGACAACTGCTTGAAGTCGATTATGTGCATGGCCTGTTTGAAGTATTTGTTTTTTTTGGAGTTGTCTCCATAAGAAGACAGAAACACACCATAAATCTTTGGGATTCAATCTTCTCTAATCCCCTCACCTCATAGCGAAGATGCTTACCTCTGTCACATCCCTATTTACCAGTAGTACGACTGATAGGATCCAGCATAAAATAGTACATCATCCTTTCTCACGAATCGTGTGATTTATCATGTGATGGAGTTACTATGTCAAGGTATCATTTCTCACGCATATTGTAATTTAGTATGTAATCAATTCATTTTCTTTTGTCTCACCTTGGTCTTTGTCGGATAAGAAAAATACATTCCTACGGTCGTGAGCCAACTTTATTATGGTTAAGAAAATGTATAAATATCATGTGTTCTTTCTTAAACTGTAATGGTATAGTATAATACAATATCTCATAGTCACATGCCAGCCTTTGTCTTTTGATATTTGTGTGGCTCTGTGAATTGGAAGGTACAGCGGACAAATAGAACGTATTAGCGTACCAGTCGAGTTCATTACCGTTATAGTAAATAATAGGCGCAGACATAACAAAGTAGTGACGGGCTTAGTGAGTTCAGTACAGTTCGGTTATAACAAATTGGCGACGGGGTCTATTCAGTTCAGTCATAACAACGACCTTGACTGCAAATCTCCAACATAATGAGAGCGACATACACGATGGTAGTAACTCTACTTATAGGCTAACTGCTACCTAAGTGAATATTCATTCCATCCAGTATAATATGTCTTTGGGTGATTGGAATATGCGAACCTGACTACCAACATCAGGTTATCGGTTATCGGTGAGGCTTCTTGCATCAACTGAAACCTCAGTTAAATATTTTTTTAAATAACTTTTTTCTATAGTTTGGTTTGTAAGGGTTAGTTATGTTTTTACGAGTTGATCACGGAATTGATATCAATTAGATAACCAATTGAAAACCAGCACTGGAGAGTACTCGACAGCTGTTTCACCTGCCCTAGTTTGGGACTCATCGGCAGTACGTACCCACTGGGATTCGAACCAAGGACCTTCCGGTTACAAGGCAAGCTAACTCGTATACCATTCAGCCACTCACTGGGACCCGACTCCTCAATGGCCAGCTCATGAATTCTAACTTCTACCAATTCGTGATTTAGCGCGACTGGCACCAACCAATGTCGTCGGTGGGACATCCATCCTCACACGTGACATCTGGATGGACTTCACTGGTCACAACTTCTCACTAGAACTCTAGGAAGCTCCATCCTGTAGCAAGTCACTAGCGAGCATCAGATTAATTTTCTATAGTCTGGTTTGTAAGGATTATTTATGTTTTTAACGAGTTGATCACGGATTGAAATCATTTAGAGAACCATTGAAAATCAGGGAGTACTGGACAGCTGACGACGATATTGGTTTGGGTCGCGCTAAATTACAATTTGGTAGAAGTTAGAATTCATGGGTCGGTCATTGAATCGAGTCCCAGTGGCTGAATGGTATACGATCTTCCTTGCTTGTAACCGGAAGGTCCTGGGTTCGACCCCTGGCAGTGGGTGCGTACTGCCGATGAGTCCCAAACTAGGGAAGATGAAACAGCTGTCGAGTACTCTCCAGTGCTGATTTTCAATGGTTCTCTAACTGATATCAATCCGTGATCAACTCGTAAAAAAATAACTATTGATTTATTGATATCTATTTCAGCCTAGTCTTGAACTCTTCAAAGAACAGTGAACACTAACCACTTCAGTAGGAGTAGAAACCAAGGGTTTCTACGTGATCATTTTTCTAATTCAAAAATAGATTTAGGCGAACGGATTACAGTTATCCGTTCAAATAGCTAAGACATCGCTTGAAATTAACACACTCTGAAACTACGGATGAAAAGAGAGGATAACAGAAACAGAATGATAGCGGAAATCAATAAAAATGAGCATATATGCGTGTGTGTGTGTGAAACAGAGAGAGAGACAGACAGAAAAGGAATGGTTACATTCAAATCAATAAAAACGTTTAAAGAATCAGTGACGATTGGTGAATACATCTGTTTCTTTATTAGCTAGCAGCTTTGAGTCACAATATCAAGAGTTTGGAAATACCGGTCCTCAATATCAAGAGAACCTTTCTAGTCAAGAAGTCTACACATTGATATAAGAATAGAACTTGTGCACTGTGGTGGTAGAGTATAATTCCATTATAAATAAAATTTATTTTGATAAAGTCTCACAGTGTTGTTATACAGTAATATTTACTGATGACCACGGTGCAAGCACAGTTTATTATACTGCTCATAATCTCATATCATGGCACTACTCACACAGTTTTCCAACTTCGTTTATATGGTTCCTTGTATTCCTCATCTCTTGATTTGATTGGTAGTAGTATTTTCCATATTTTCGGTGTGAATGATGAGTCATTGCATCCTATTGCACGTGTTCGGTGTGGACTCGATGATCAAGGATTCAGTAATCAACCACCTCTCTCCCTACCTACCTATATTACCTCTTAGAATTTTAACCCTCTCCCAACCTATTGTGTATGGTTGTGTGTTAATGCATTCATGCGGTGCAATCGCTGAGCTTTTTTCTAAATTACTCATCTTCTCGGGATCAATCATTCTAACCTTAGCTAAATTCTTATGTTCCGACAATCTGACTACTCCCGACCTACTAGTTTGACTTATGTAGTTGACTCAACTCACAGTCGTTGCAGGGTGTTTTGTAAATTATATTATTTTGTCTAATTGAGTCAATCGGCAGGGTCCTTTAACCTGCAGAGCTTGTCCCTGAGTGAGTTTGTGGGTTTAAATGCCACCCTAATTCCTGCTTTATTAAGAATCCTACGTAGGGCCTCAGATGTCCCCTCTCTCCTTATTTGGTAAAACTGTAGATGCCTTATATTCTTTCTTAATTATGTTATCATTATTAGCTTCACCATTATTTTTATTTGTTTTGACCTTCCTAATGAATTTTATAGGACACTTAGTTATTTAACACCAACGCTTCTTCTATCTCTTTTTTTTCATCCTTTAGGTTTTTTGTTGCACAACTTAGTGTTATTGCTCGGTTTGTTAGACAGACGCTTAACTAAGCCTGCCTTTACAGATAAGGGATGACATGAATTAAAGTCTAAACTTGACATGAGATTATGAACAGTAATAAATTGTGCTCGAAATGTGGTCATCAGTAAATATTATTGTATAACACTCCACTGTATGTGACTTTATCAAAATAAATTCTACCCACAATGGAAGGAAGTCTACACACTTTTGCATAACTCACAGTAACATTCATTCACTTCATCAATCGGTGTCGTGTTTTATTTTGACTAGTAATCACTGTTATTTTCAAGTATAGGTTTGTAGGGATTTTGTTTGATTGGTTACAGGATTTCATCATGAGCTGATATAAATTAAAGAACCATTGGAAAACCAGTACTGGAGTACTGGAGAGCTGTTTCGTCCTAATCTTGGGACTCTTGATCAGCACGCACCCACCCACAGGGGTTCGACTGGCCCTATTCAGGTAGGTAGTTACCTGGGTTCTAACGAGAATTCGTGACCAGTAGGGTGCAGAAGGCCAGGTGTGAGGACAAATACTTACCGAAGACATTGGCTAGCGGTCCCGCTATATCGTGAATTGTCATCGGTTAGCCATTGAGGAGTCGGGTCCCAGTGAGTGGCTTAATGGTCTACGAGCTTACTCATCTTGTA